AAAAAAAAAATGAAGAGAAAGTGAGATAGAACCAAATAATACGTCGGTCTTAGATTGCTCGAGAAAATGGGAACTTGTACATCTACTCTGTGCCCGAGTTACATCTGGTCTATATGGTAAAAAAAATCAGTCATTTACCGGACGTTGCTACCGATCAGCCGTATATGGACGATGAGCCGATCGCTGCGGAAGGCGTTGGGGCGATGCCGGGGGCGATTTCTGAAGCATTTGCCGCGAAGCCAGAAGAAGTGGTTATGGAGGTGGTAAGGAATTTTTGTGACTATTTTAGGGTAGTGCTTTACTACACCCAACACTGCCATACGGTGCTTTTTTAAATTAAAAAAAAAAAAGATGAAATAATCAGCAGTCGCAGAGAAGCTGTGAAGATAAATTTGCACCCTCTTCCACCTCTTCTTCTCCTTTGATTGCTTAGCGATGTGCAGTCGTAGAGAAATGACGAAGGGAATAAAAACAACCGAAATAAAATTTGCAAGAAGGCCACGGGCTTGCGCAGGCAGTCGTCGTACGTAAAATGTCGATTGTGTGACATTTTTCGCTTCGCTGTCGATTGTGTGACAGTTGCTGTGCTTAATAAAGGAAGTGGTGGTAGCTTTAATTTTGCAGCTTCTCGTTGGAATGGGTGTTAATCAAGCGCGCCCGATGCTTCTACTGCTAATTGATGATATGGTTTCAACATATGAAATGTTCGCGTATGATAATGCGGTCCAGAGCCATCTTGCAATACGGTCTGTTTCCATTCACGTTTCGACAAAGCTTCTACTTTTTGCAGCGAATGTTGACATGCTGGGTAGTCCTCTTTGTTTGTTTTCTTTCGAAAAAGTAGATTAGATTCGCTTCATATTCTTAGGCACTTGTATGGCGCTCCAGTTTAATTTAGCGTTCTTATGGTAGTGGTATCAGCATTAGTTATGGTTGTAGTGTACCATGAAGTGGTTCGGAGGTCCCCAAGAGCACGTTCCCCGAGCACGTATTTAGATAGCGTTTCATTAGGTAGTGATCACATAACCCTAATTCTGAATGGGTAACACCGGTTTATTATCTTACGCTTTATTTCGAGTTTTTTTGAGTATGTATTTCCAGTTAATTTTCATACGTTTTGATGCAGCTATGCAATACAGAAAACGCATATTGACGAGGGGTTGTCTGTGTGTGTATGTGTGTGTGTGTGTGTGTGTGTGTATGTGTACGTGTGTCACGGTTTTTCATCTCAAGACCTACAAAAGCTACAGGGCTGAAACTTTGGGAACTTAATTTAGGTGCACGTACGGCCCCAATCCCAATAAATAGCAACGCACACCAGACTAGCCGATGCGATCATGCGTTTTGTGCAATTCAGCCCATCTAACGATTGCCTATCAATGATTTTCACTGCTTTGTACTTTAGTCTATGTAAAAATAGTTCGAACATTGGAAAACAGTTAAAAATTTCGCGCACCAGTGCATGAAAGCTGAATTCGAAACCTTGAAGGGTGAGCATCCTTTCCGTGATTCCCGAGTTAATAGTTTACCCACCAAAATTTTCATAAGACAGTAGGTGATACTCAAGAGCGCGGGAGCGCTGAATTTGAATAGGCAAGGTTGAGCGTGGGCAGGGGGTTATTACCGTAAAATCTCAGCCTCCTGGACTCCGTGGTTCCCAAGATATTAATTTACCCGTAAAAAACTTTCACGGGGCCATACGTGTTACCTGCGAGTACGGGAAAGCTGAATTTAAATATGCGGGATCACACGTGGGTGGGGACGTTCC